GGAGGAAAACTGGTGCCAGCAGCCAGGGGAAGGGGCCCCCAAGGGGCCCCAGACTGCGAGAGGGCACAGGCCGGGCTGAGGGACCCACCTGAGTGCACAAATTTTTGTGCACCGGGCCTCTAGTTAATAATAATTGAGCTTAGGTGGAAGGAAAGAATTGTGGGATTCAAGTTACAGAAGTATAAAGGTAATCACTTCTCCTGAAGAGTATTATGAAGTTTAAATGAAAAAATAAATTCTGCCACTTGCCTGACCCATAATGTAATTGACAAGAGCTAAATTGAGACCTTCCTAAGATCACAGACGACAGGTGGATGAATCAGGATTTACAGTGAGGCTCTTGACTCCACATTTTATTTCTTGCCAGGATACCACCTTCCCCTTAAACAGTCTGTCCATTGTGACTATTAATGGATACTGATGTTGTGACTAATTTTATACTTGCCTTTTTTGCAATAAATAATGTACTTGTTTCAAAGTGTTGTAATTCTTCATTAAATTCTTAAAAATTTAGTATGTACTGAATTTGTTATTGGGATTATTATTATTTATTTGCTATAATTATATTTTATCATGTTGTTAAATTGGGCTAACACTTTCATTTCTTTATTTGGAAGGTCCTGCTTAAATCACCCAGACAAAAAAATTGTTGCCTACTGTTCAATGATTTTGTTTACATCCCTTAATTCTGAAAGAATGAAAGAACTGGAAGAAAACCTCAATATTGCAATTGATGTCATAGAAACTCACCAAAAGCAGCCTGAATCAGAATGGCCGTGAGTATCATGTTAGGTATTTGATTGCTTAAGAACATTCTGACAGATCACTTTCCTAATAGAGATTTTAAGTAAAAATTCAAATTATAATAATTGGACAGTAAATTAAAATGACACATGTTGACAAAATAAGAAAAGTTTCTCAGCAGCCCCTGGAGGCTTTGTGAGAGGTGAAGTGAGGTTTGAGCGGGTCCTTGAAGGGGTGAGAAGTTTTTAAGGTGGTGAGGAGGGCAAATACGTGGCTACTGTGGAGCGTGTGGGTCAGACCATTGTGGCTGCAGTGGGTGCTTCCTTAAAGGTTAGAGGTTCGTAAGTGTCCTGTGGGCATCGTTTAGATGAGAGATTCACTGTCATATTATACTTGTGGTTGGTGAGCACATTGATGTCATTTCATTCTATTTAAATATATTGAGGCTTGTTTTATGGCCTAACACCTGGTCTGTCATAGAGAATGTTCCATGTTTTTGAGAATGATGTGTATTCTGTTTTTGATGGAGTGTTCTATAGATACCTGGTAGGTCTAGTGATTTATACTGTTGTTCAAGTCTGCTGTTTCCCGGATGGTCTCCTGTCCAGTGATTCATTATTGAAAGCGGGTTGCTTTTTATTTCTCCCTTCAGTTCTGTCCGGTTTTGCACTTATTTCCGTCTGTGTTGGTAGGTACATAGAAGTTCGTAATTGCTGTGTCTTCTGAGGAATTGACTCTTTCATCATTATAAACCCATCATTTTGTTGTTTTTCTTTATTAGTGTCCTGTTTACTTTAAAATCTATTTTATTTCTGTTTGCCACATAGTGATCCGTTTGTCTTGGGTCGGGAGCCTTGAGCTGCCAGTAATCCCACCATTTCACAGGCATGAACTTCCCCAGTTTTGGCCTCTTTTAGTATGAATGTTATTGTTCTATTGAAGGTATACCTAATCTTAAAGCGATTTATATGTATGGGCATTTATTTTATTTGCATTACCATTTGCCCACAAACAGAAGTTGGTACAGAAATAATTATGTTGTTGTGCTTGACTTAGAAAACCTCCCTCGGTAATGCAAGTGTTTTTACATGACAGGTGAATCATTAGATTATTAAGCGAAATTTTCTGTAGCCTAATTCTGTTTCATTTGTTAAGTATCTTGGAGCTATATTTTATGTAAATACTTTAAAATATGTTTTTATTGATTTGAGAGAAAGAGAGAGAGAGAGGAAGAGAGAGAGAGAGAAATGGATCCGTTGCCCTCCTACATGCTCCCGCGGGGGATAGAGCCTGCAACCCCGGCATGACCGGAATCAAACCAGCGACCTCTGGGTGCATGGGATGACACTCAACCAACTGAGCCACACCGGCCAGAGCGGATCTATATTTTAACCATCTGTAATTGTTTAGCAGCATGGAATAAAGGGCAAAAGGTCGTAAATGGCAAAATATAAGATCTACTTCAGGACAGTTCAAGTTAAAGTCATCAAAGGTCACTAAAGGGGTTTAGACAGGAAAAAGGATGGGAAGCAGTAGCTAACTGTCTTCTATACACTCTGCTTGACTTATGTGAGCAGAACTCTGTATTTGGTAAACAAAAATGGGACCACAAAATACCCAGAGATGTCCAAAAACATTGTTACTTTTCACTGTTAAACCTGAACCCACCCCTGAACATGAAGAGAAAAAACTGCTTTTTGCCCTCCCAGCTCTCAACATGGGAGAGCATTCCATAGGCATGAACTTGCCCAGTTTTAGCCTCTTTTAGTGTGAATGTTATTGTTGTATTGAAATTATACCTAATTTTAAAATATTGAGAACAGTATTTTACAATGAGCACAAAAGGACATGGTGTTAGAATTCATAGGTTTAGTATCTTTTCTTGGAAAGGGACAAATGTAAGGTTTCAATAACTTTGGGTCTTTTTGTTTTGGTTCACACAGGAAAGCGTAGGCGAAGAAGGCTTTGGCACGCCTCCGTGTGAATGATTGGGATAATGTTCTTCTAAAAATGCTCGTTTCTCTTGTTCGTAGGTGTGAGCGATGTGCTCATGCTCTTAGATAACCCTGGGTGAATCGGTCCAAGGGGTGAAGTGTGGCATTTGAATCTATCTGCACCTGACCGCCCACTGACTGTGCGTTAGTAGATGGGGTCAGTGTGGAGTTGCGGAGCGTGAGAGGGTGGGGCGGCCAGTGCTGCCCTGTGCTGAGGGGCGCAGCGTGTCGGGGTCTTGTTTTCCTGCCACTGCCATCCTGGGAATGTGTTTTGCCACCATGTGCAGATGAGAGCCCCGAGACTCAGCAAGTTACTGTAGGGCTCCCACTTCGTTACTGTGTCCAGTGCTGTAAGAAATCGGTTTCGGGAGGAGGCTGAGTTTAAAGGTGAATGATGATTTCTTTCAGTTTTGGCCTCTTCCAGCGTAAACTTTAGCATTCTCTTGAACCTACGGTGTCACTACAAAAATGAATTTATAACTGTGAGTGGAGTATTACTTTTGGGTCATATTTGGGTTATCTAGTTGATTTATTTTGCATGACAAAGTTTCACTCCCAGATTGCTATCTCCTTTGCTCTAGGGATGTTTCTTGCCTTTTGGATATAAATTTTACTATTTCCTTGGCTATAAAGGTATTAGGGAGATAAATGTAATTATCCTTCCCGTTGTGGTTTGACTCTGCTGCCCCTCTTCTGTTCTCCTGCGTGCGCACTCACATTTCATAGCATGTGCCACTTGTCTGTGAGACTGTGAGCACCTTATGGCAAGATTTGGCGTTTGTTCTGGCAACCTCAACAGAACAACGTTTGGCATGTGGCAGGCAGGAGCCTAGTCTTGAGGCTTCTGAGTCTGAAGTGTCGGCAGCCCCGCTCAGATAGCACATGTGCAGAGAGAGCTTCCCGGCCTACAAGACGTCCTGGAGGGACTGGATTTGTAGGCACAGTGGGTGCAGGGGCGGCCAGACCCATCAGTACTGGCTCGCTGTGTCTCCTCTTCCTTCTGCGCTGCTTTCACTCAGGCACCGTTGCCGCCTGCGTTGTTAGCGCCTGTTCTTTATCTGCCCGAAGATGGCATGGCCCGTGGCCCGTCTTCAGCCGCCTTCCCTGTCATTGCTCATTCCTGGACGACCTTCCCTAGTTCCACAGCTTAAGATTCCTTTCTAAGTTGATGATTTCCAAATGGACGTGTCTGGCCTTGACCTCTGGCCAGAGCTTCAGACCCGTGTGTGCACCTTCCCTGGCGCTTGTAACCGAGGCCTCACACTCAGGAAGACCTCAGTCCCCCCATCTGCACTGGTTCAGCGGCCCACCTCACCTTTCACCTCGTGCTGAGGCCCGGACCCTGCTCGCCCGCACCTGAGAGTTGGTCTGGCTTCTCTTCCTCTCACTGCTTGCACGCATCAGCCCTATCTGCCGGCCGTGCTCCAAGGTCACCTGCTTCACACCCTCTCTGCCGCGACAGCTCGAGGCAGCAGCTCCCGGAGACAGACGACTGCGGGAACTGCTCGCTCACCTTTCTGCCCTCCTAGTCACCACACAGCGTAAATGCTGTAGAGCTTGCCACTCGCTTGCTTAAATAGACCCTCTGGGCGCTTCCCCCAGCACCAAGGAGCCAATTTGAAGTAACTGTCATGTCCTGGCTCCTAACTGAGCTCATTTTACTTCTGACCATTACTTATCTCCCTGCTCCTTACTTCCTACTGCTCTCGCTGCTTTTCTGTGAATTGCCCGAGTTTGTTCTCTCCTGATTCTTGACACCTGCCCTCCCTTCTGTGTGGAGTGCTCCTCCTCTGTGTGGAGTGCTCCTTTGTGTGGCGAGCTGCTCCTCTGTGTGGCATACTGCTCTTCTGCATGGAGTGCTCCTCTGGGTGGAGTGCTCCTCTGTGTGGCGAGCTGCTCCTCTGTGTGGTGTGCTGCTCTTCTGTGTGGAGTGCTCCTCTGTGTGGAGTGCTCCTCTGCGTGGAGTGCTCCTCTGTGTGGCATACTGCTCTTCTGCATGGAGTGCTCCTCTGGGTGGAGTGCTCCTCTGCGTGGCATGCTGCTCCTCTGCGTGGAGGGCTTCTCTGCGTGGCGTGCTCCTCTGCGTGGTGTGCTGCTCCTCTGCGTGGAGGGCTTCTCTGCGTGGCGTGCTCCTCTGCGTGGTGTGCTGCTCCTCTGCGTGGAGGGCTTCTCTGCGTGGCGTGCTCCTCTGCGTGGTGTGCTGCTCCTCTGCGTGGAGGGCTTCTCTGCGTGGCGTGCTCCTCTGCGTGGTGTGCTGCTCCTCTGCGTGGAGGGCTTCTCTGCGTGGCGTGCTCCTCTGCGTGGTGTGCTGCTCCTCTGCGTGGAGGGCTTCTCTGCGTGGCGTGCTCCTCTGCGTGGTGTGCTGCTCCTCTGCGTGGAGGGCTTCTCTGCGTGGCGTGCTCCTCTGCGTGGTGTGCTGCTCCTCTGCGTGGAGGGCTTCTCTGCGTGGCGTGCTCCTCTGCGTGGTGTGCTGCTCCTCTGCGTGGAGGGCTTCTCTGCGTGGCGTGCTCCTCTGCGTGGTGTGCTGCTCCTCTGCGTGGAGGGCTTCTCTGCGTGGCGTGCTCCTCTGCGTGGTGTGCTGCTCCTCTGCGTGGAGGGCTTCTCTGCGTGGCGTGCTCCTCTGCGTGGTGTGCTGCTCCTCTGCGTGGAGGGCTTCTCTGCGTGGCGTGCTCCTCTGCGTGGTGTGCTGCTCCTCTGCGTGGAGGGCTTCTCTGCGTGGCGTGCTCCTCTGCGTGGCGAGCTGCTCCTCTGCGTGGCGTGCTGCTCCTCTGCGTGGAGGGCTCCTCTGTGTGGAGGGCTCTTCCTCTGTGTGGCGTGCTCCTCCTCTGTGTGGCGTGCTGCTCCTCTGCGTGGAGGGCTCCTCTGCGTGGCATACTGCTCCTCTGCGTGGAGGGCTCCTCCTCTGTGTGGAGGGCTCTTCCTCTGTGTGGCATGCTCCTCCTCTGCGTGGAGGGCTCTTCCTCTGCGTGGCATGCTGCTCCTCTGCGTGGAGGGCTTCTCTGCGTGGCGTTCTCCTCTGCGTGGCGTGCTGCTCCTCTGTGTGGTATACTGCTCTTCTGCGTGGCGTGCTCCTCTGCGTGGCGAGCTGCTCCTCTGCGTGGCGTGCTGCTCCTCTGCGTGGAGGGCTCCTCTGTGTGGAGGGCTCTTCCTCTGTGTGGCGTGCTCCTCCTCTGTGTGGCGTGCTGCTCCTCTGCGTGGAGGGCTCCTCTGCGTGGCATACTGCTCCTCTGCGTGGAGGGCTCCTCCTCTGTGTGGAGGGCTCTTCCTCTGTGTGGCATGCTCCTCCTCTGCGTGGAGGGCTCTTCCTCTGCGTGGCATGCTGCTCCTCTGCGTGGAGGGCTTCTCCTCTGTGTGGCATGCTCCTCTGCGTGGCGTGCTCCTCCTCTGCGTGGAGGGCTTCTCCTTTGTGTGGTGTGTACCCCAAACTCTGGTGCAGTGGGAACAGCGGCACACAGCTCCTCTGCATGGAGGGCTTCTCCTCTGCGTGGAGGGCTCCTCCTCTGTGTGGAATGCTCTTCCTCTGTGTGGAGTGCCACAGCCTGCTTTTATAAATACACTAGAGGCCCGGTGCATGAAATTCGTGCACTGGGTGTGTGTGTGTGTGGGGGGGGGGTTTTCTCAGCCCAGCCTGCACCCTCTCCAATCTGGGACCCCTCTCACAATCCAGGAATGCTGACTCCTAACTGCTCGCCTGCCTGCCTGCCTGATTGCCCCTAACTGCTTCTGCCTACCAGCCTGATCACCCCCTAACCACTCTCCTAACAGCCTGATCGATGCCTAACTGCTCCCCTGCCGGCCCGAAGCCCCTAACTGCCCTCCCCTGCTAGCCTGGTCACCCCTAACTGCCCTCCCCTCCGGGCCTGGTCCCCCCAACTGCCCTCCCCTGCAGGCCTGATCGCCCACAACTGCCCTCTTCTGCAGGCCTGGTCCCCCCAACTGCCCTCCCCTGCTGGCCTGGTCACCCACAACTGCCCTCCCCTGCCGGCCATCTTGTGTGTTAGAGTGATGGCCAATTTGCATATTACCCCTTTATTATATAGGATTTTTATCGGTACACAGCCATACTCATTAATTATGTATTTATTGTCTCTGGCTGCTTTCATGCTGCCATGAAAGACCAAGTAGCAGAGACTTGGGCCCCGTAGTCTCAAATATTTAGTACTAGGCCCTTTATGGGAAAAGTGTCTGCTGTGTCGTATTTGTTGAATGAGTTGGGTGATGGTGGTGTCTTGGCCTCCAGTTGCCTTGGGCTTGTCTGGTTCCCGTGCCTTTGTTGAGAGACTCCCAGAGGTCCGGGCGGGCCTTCCCGGGAGCCCTGTGCCGGCGAAGCTCAGGTGCTGCGGTGAGAGCCAGAGCCTGCAGTGCGCGAGCGCGGAAGTGTGGTCCCCCCACCCAGTACGCGTACCGCTGTTCCCACTGCACCGGAGCTTGGGGTGCTTCTCAAGGTGTCTACACGCAGCTCTGACCTGGAGTCGCATGTAGAATGCAACTTGGGATGTTTGTGTGCACATCTTTTTGTGAAAGTTGGAATACTTTAGGACATAAGTAAACATTTTCTTTGTCAACATTGGCTGGCACGCGTACTGCGAAGTTTGGGAATTACAGAGGTTTCTCCAGGAGCAGGTTAGCCCACAGATCTGTGCGGTGTGTGAGGTGTGCGAGTGGTCCTTCCAGGCTCATGTTCTCTCCCTGGTCAGCCTTTTTCCCAGGCCGGGTCCCGTGTTCACTCTGGTGGAGCTTTCCGAGCTGCGTGACTGAGCCCAGCTGGCAGGTGTGGGCTCTTTCTTGAAAGGAAGAGTTTCTGTTATTTGAAGAAGGTGAAAGGGATATTAGGATAAAAATGGCAGACATCCACAAGAACTCAGTCAATGTTTGATGAATGAGTGAATCATTTTCATTGTCTGTACTGCTTTCGAAGTTAAATATTACTTAATTTCTCTTATTTGGTTGGCGTTGCATTCTGATGTTATTACTAGAAACTGGAGAAGCAGGACACCGTGATGCTGAGAGGGTGGGCACCGTGTCCAGTGTCTGCTGCCAGCGGGTTAGGACTGAGACCCTGGCCCAGCTCTCTCTCTATGACTCAGGTGTCTGCGCTTCTCTCGAGGGGGCGGGAGAGGAAGGGGGGCAGAAACGGGCGTGTAAGAACGGCAGTTCACTGGCCTTGCCCGGGCAGCACTCGGGATCCAGCTGGTGTCAGACTTTCTCAGAGATGGTAGCTCACGGCTTTGCAGTGGAGCATGGCCTTGGGGTCGTCGGGCTGATGGATGGCTGTGTGCCTGTGTGCTTCCTGGAGCCCGGAAATGTCACCGACAGGAGCAGGAGGCTGTTGGCTGTGCAGTGCGGGCAGCTTTGCCCAGGTCGCTGTATTAGCCGCTGTGGGTGGGGTTCCCCGATCTCAAAGCAAACCAGGAGGGTGGCATTCATTTTCAAGAGCGTGTTTAAATCAGATTCTTTATTCAACCAATGAGCTGTGCAAACATTTTCTAGGCGTTTGCAGTCAATGAAATAGATTTGATTTATGTTACAAATAAGCGTTGACATTGTGGACTTGTGTATGGAAATGGCCATAAGTGGCTCTCACTTTTAGAAAATTTCCAACGCTGACTTTAGGGTCACCTGCTTCCCAATGACAGTCACTGTTCACGGTCCTTTCCCTGTGCTCCCTGATGGGCAGATGGCCTTTACCACCTTATGCCTGGTGGTAGAGACACTGGGATGCAGATCATGTTAATCTCTTCAAAACCAATTATAAGCAAGAGAGAGAGAGAGAGAGAGAAAGAGAGAGAAGAGAGAGAAGAGAAAAGAGGGACCTTCATGCACTTTGGCTTTTAGCCAGTGTGGAAACTTGTAAAATTGTGGTCAGTGCTTTACCATCAACAACTTGCTTTGTGAACACTGGCTGTTCTGTAATTACATTTAAGTGAGGAATTTCCCTATTAAACTGAGCTCTGCCTCCAACTGCCTGGGGCAGGTCCACTATGGCCCCAGAGGCTGAGAGTAATTGGTGGGAGGGAAACCAGGCCCCCCAAGCGCCTGCAGCGGAACTGAAGGGAGCACTCAGGAGCGCGGACAGGATCCCATTTCTAGCTTTTTCTTTCTGTGAAATAAAGATGTACTTCTCCGTGCCCCTTCCGCTCCGACTTCTGCCTCTTGGATAGGATGTGTTTCTGACCCTCCCCCGGGCAGTCTGTCCCACTCTCCATAGACTTGGAGAACGACTGGAGTGTTCCTGTCTCTAGATGTCCTTGCACATTTTGGGTTGTAGATTAGTGGGACCCTGCCTCCCTCTTACAGAATTACCACCGAATTTCTGAATTTACAGAAATAGTTCTGCAAAAAAATTAATCACAAATTAAAGTGTGTAACTTAGCAAATATGGAGTGTGATTGGGTCTCTGTTGTGAAAGTTTTCACCTGTGGTTTCTCGAGTCGATATTTGGTAAGAAAGTAAATGCAGTGAATTTTTACTAAAAATTGAGAATTTATGCAGCACCCTGGAGTGGAGAGTGTATGTATTATATTTAGAAAAATAATCTCAGCATCTACCACATAAAAACTTCTGCATAACTGAGCCACTTAAACGACCATTTTCGAGTCACTAGAAGAGCATTCCATCGCTTTGCTGTGTGCGGATTGTGGAGGAAGTGGCGGAGGGGGTTAGGTTTTGTTTTTATGTGAAGTGACAGCATTGTGGTGGCTAATGTGCTTCATCCTGTTATCGTTCTGAAAGCCATACTTTTATTTGTTAAGAAGTAATTAAATAAACTATGACTGTACATATATTGGCTTTTTAATAGCCACTTCGATTACTCTAAACTTGGAATGAACAGTGTGTTCTTTAGCTCTTAAGTCTTCAGATGCCCTCTGGTAAATAGATGCAGAACTCATTAATAAACCGTTCAATCTTCCAGCTGTCACGGGGGCACTTTGAAGAATATGCTCGTAATCTGTGCCTGGGGGTTCGCGCAATTGATCTCTAAGTTTGGATGCTGCGCTGCCTGACAGTGAGGATGTTTTCTTGGTAACTTGAGAGCTTTACAGAGGAGATAATCAAGCCAGTGTTCACTGCCTGTGGTTGGCGTATGTTCCCATGAAAAACAGTAGGATGTTCTCTTTCTCGGGTCATGTTCGCACCAAGCTTCTGACTAAACCAGTGAAAGTGTTTCTGTTTATTCCTGAGCTTGCAGCTAAATTCCATTCTGCTGTTTCAACTCCACTGAAGTGTTTTTCCTTCCCCAGCTTTGCCGAATGCGATAGCAGGCCCTTTCTTCCAGCTGGGTAAAGCGGAATCATTTCAGTAAATGTTTCAGAAATAAGATTGGAGAGAAATATTGTGAGAGCTTTAATTTTCCTCTAGCTGCTAATAGAAAATAGTATGTGAACCTCTTAAAACATCTTAAGATTACGGCTAATCAAGAATTCAATTAAAAGGAGTGCTTTTATGTGTAAGATACGCCTATAAAGTTGATAAGGCCATGTCTGTTTGACTATGTTTCTAGTAACCAAACTTCTTTCTCCTTTTTTCCTTAGGTTCTTGATTATTACAGACCATTTTCTGAAAAGTCCGGAATTGGTGAGAGCCATGTATGCCAAAATGAGCAATCAAGAAAGGTAACCCCAAAAACCAGTGTGGTTTTGAGTATTTAGCATTCCATATAGGGTATCCTGTACACATGACTGAAAACTGTGTGGTTTCTTAGTTGGCACAAAATCTCTAAATACATGTTTCTGTGTCAGTAATGGTTTGAAATTGGTTGGTTAACATTACAGCTTCGCCACAACAGGCAGTGGTTAGCGCGGGGCTGCAGAATCCAGGTTGGCGCCATTGTCCAGGGAAGCCACATTCAAAAACGCCAGGAGCAAAATGTTGTGCTTGTGCCGTGCTTTATCCTAGTCATTCCTGCAACTAGATATTCCTGCTGTGTGTTTGAAGAGTGCGCATCTGTCCACCTCGCTGATAGGATAGTTTGGGATATACGCTCCCAGGTGGTAGTTTCCGGTAGGTAATTCAGACCCACGGAAAATGGGTGCCCGGCGGGGACCTCCCCGCTGTTGCAGTGGGCAGAGCAGCGAGTGCCCTGAGAGCGAGCCGGCTCCCTGCCCGCCTGGCGATAGGAATTCTGTGTGTGACTGTGGCCAGGTCTTTATCGTGTTTGGATTCAGTTTCCTGACCTATAAAATTAGAGGATTAAACAAAATGATTCACAGTTCTCTTTCCATTCCAATAGGATGTGTTTTTCCAAACCTTATTGGAAATGTTGTCTTAGGAAAATAAAACTTACTCAGAAATCTGATGATCAGAAACTGATATAATGGTTAAGAACTTTAAAAATGTTACTCTTTTGATTGTAGTCACAATTTTTATAATTGCTGTGGTTTTGAAATTTTGCCTGTGTGTTTGGGTCTAACATTAAGCTTTATGCACTCCTTCGTAGTCGTGTTAAGTACTGATTTTTCTTTAATATCTTTAACAAAAAAGAAAAGTTCATGCTTATAAAGTGAGTTTAAATGCCATGTTTATAAATCCATGACCCCTGCTACTGCCACATATGTATACGTTTATTCCTGAAAGAGAATTATTTGTAGTTTTTTTTGTTTGTTTGTTTTTTTTACCTAAAATAAGTAACTTGATGAGCACTGGTAGAAATTAGTCATTGCTTTGCAGTAAGGAACACACGAGTACACGAATACATAGTGTAATTGTGATTTAATACTCATGTTTGTATTTTCTGCATTGCTGTCAAGTGATCTGTTTTTCAACTAATCATTAGCTAAGCCAGCCGTGGGCAAACTACGGCCCGCGGGCCGGATCTGGCCCGTTTGAAATGAATAAAACTAAAAAAAAAAAAAAGACCGTACCCTTTTAGGTAATGATGTTTACTTTGAATTTATATTAGTTCACACAAACACTCCATCCATGCTTTTGTTCCGGCCTCCGGTCCAGTTTAAGAACCCATTGTGGCCCTCGAGTCAAAAAGTTTGCCCACCCCTGAAGCAAATGAGGATGGCAGACAATAGTTTCCATTTTTATTTAGAAACCAGTGGTGGCCGCTGCTTCCCTCCTTCGTGGGAGTTTTCTGCTCAAGCGTGATCTCCTCCTCCGCCTCCTGTATTCTCCTTCCCAGGAGGAGTGCTATCCCCTCCTCACAGAACTTAGCAGACATTGGCCCGTGTGCCATTACATAACCTGTCGTACAGCGGACCGTGCCACGTGCCTGCCTGCTGCTGCTCGGCACTCCCGTCAGGTGCTGTGTGCGGGAAGGGTTTGGTCTTTCCTATTCTGCGATGTCCACGTTGCCTGGGCACAGAACAGGTGCAAAACAGGGTTTTTTGAATGGAAGCATGCGCGGCTGAGGGGTTTCCTTACGCACGGAAGGGTCTTTAGTAGCTGGTTAGGGTGTGTGAGCCCTGGCATCCTACACAGGGCAACCTATCCTGTGGGGCCCGCCTCCACTTTCCAGGTCGCAATGGTCACTGCGAGCGATACCGAGTTACAGTCTTCCAGGCACAGCGAGGTGGAAGGTGGCGTCTAGGAGGGGACCTTGCTCTTTTCAAAATGCTTATTTTATACAAGAAGATGTGTCAGAAATTTAACATCTAATTGACCACATCCTAAATCTACAAATGTCACTAAGAGCCACCCTCCCCTCTCCTCTGCACTTGGTATTATGGGTAGTCATTGCTTTTACTATGAATACATTATCAGTGAAAGCATTGACAGGTTTTGCTCCTACGAACTTGTGCACAGCTCTTGTTAGGTGAGCCAGGCGCTGTCCCAAGCGCCACAGGGGCAGCTCAGTCACTGTCAGCCTCGGCAGGCCGGCACTCCTGTCGTCCTGCGTTGCAGGTGCGCACACGGAGGGAGAGAGGTTAGTGGCTTGTCCAGGCCTCCCTGCGGTGGACGGCAGCCTGGCTCTGGAGCCTGTCTTGATAACACTGCCCTGTGCCGCCTACGGAAGGCCATTGGGTAGGATAACATCTGTGTTGTATGTAAAAACGTAAAAGACACCCGACAGTACACTGTATGAGGACAGTTAAAGTGAATTCCTTTACGAGAAGATAATCATTCTCTCATCGGTGGCTTATTTCTCCTGAATACCGTGTATTTCTCTAACGTTGACGTGTCGAGTATGGTGGTTTAGATGTCATGACCAGACAGCCGATGCCAGTTCAGCGAATGAATGAAGACCTGAATGAGAGCCTCACCCTCCGTTCCATGGGAGGTAGATTTTGCTGGAGGTGCGTCTTGTGGTTCATATTGCACGTAGTTATACGGCCTCGGCCAGATTACTAGCTGCTGCGGACTTTGTTTTCCAGAAACATGAACCATAAATATTCTGGCTTGAGATTTGTACTTTTGCTCCTCCTGCCCTCTGAATTGCACATATACACATGGAAGCAATTTAATGATGCCAGCAAACTTTGTGATACATGTGATGAAAGGAAGCGGGGCCCCTCTCTGGTGTAGAAATGAAGACTTGTACATATAATCCCAGGTCAGAATAGGATTTTGAGGAACATACTTGGTTTATGCTGGATAGGTTGCCCTGTATATAATTTGTTTTTTTCTAGGAAAAGGAAAAAGGTTGTTGAATAAAAATATTTATTGATAATTTAAATATTGATGTAAAAAATGGCATAGGTTGGGTTTCAGATTTATGTTTTTGTAAACTCAAATGATGAAACAAACAAAAAAGCCAACCTTCCCAAGAAAGATAGTAAAATGAGCAGCTAAGGCACCCGACCCAGGAGCGGGAGAGCCGTGGCTCTCAGGTGGGTGACCCTGGGCAGGCAGCCTGCGTAAGCCTCTCACCACCCTGGTGTGAGGCGGAGCACCGGCCTCGCAGTTCTGTGTGCACCAAATGAGAAAATGGGTGGAAAGCGCTTCGCTCTAGTAAGTAGTGAATGTTGATTTTATAGTTCTGATCACTCAGAGAATGATTAAGTATACATTTCCTGAAAAAATAAAAAAAATAAGTAGTGAATGTTGCCCATTTGACTTTGCTATTGTTATTATTGTTGATATATTAGAAAACTGGCAGCATTTCTGAAGTTTGAATTATTTTAGTGCTCAAAGTAATAATATAAAAGGTGCTTTTTTCTGTAGCCTCGCCATATCAAAGAAATCAAGATTTTTAAAAAACAGGTGATTGATGAGGGTTAATTTTATTCTCAAATCCTGTTTCCCCAGCTAGACATTATAAGCAAAGTACGGAAGTTAAAGAGTAAAAATGTTCTCTTACAGTGGTCTCTAGATATTTCTAGCGCTGTGGCATCCCAGTATTGCATGTTCCTGTAAAGTCTTTGCTTCACAGGGTCACACTCTTGGACGTTCTAATAGCCAAGATGGTGGGCGAGGAGCCTCTGACCAAGGATGACACAACTGCGCTCCTGGGCCATGCCGAGCTCGTCGCCAGCACCTTCGTGGACCAGTGCAGGGTTGTGCTGAAACTGACTGCCGGGCAGCATGATGACGACGAGGTGAGAAGACAGACTTCCCAACTCAACTAGGTCCTCTGAGAATTCTTTTTACAAGCTTTTCAGAAAGATTACATAAGTATCGCGATAGTCAGATGTCTCTCTCCTCACCCTTCATATGTTGGAAACCTAATGACAGAGTTGATAGTGTTAGGAGGTGGGGCTTTTGGCACGTGATCAGGTCATGGTGGAGCCCTTATGAGTAGGGTTAGTGCCCCAGAAAGATCCCTCGCCCCTCCCACCACGTGAGGGCATAGCAAGAAGCCAGCAATCTGCAACCTGCAAGGCTTCCTCCCCAAACCAGCCACCCCAGCACCTGATCTTGTACCTGATCTTGAACGAACTGCAAGAAATAATTTCCCTTGTTTATAAGCCATACTAATGGCCCAGTGCACAGATTCGTGCACATTGAAAAGAAATTAATTAGAATTCCTGGGACAGTACAGAAGCTTGAAGGGCGTCTGGGCAGGGCAGGCAGGAGGGGGTAAGAAAACTCACGCTTGGCTCATGGTGCTGGCTCCAGTGCAGGGACTAATGCAGGCGGTCCTGGGTAGTCCCACGGTCCCTCCTGTCCAGCCTCACCTGGGGCGGCTTGAAGGTCGTCTGCGGAGTGAGCGGGGTCCCTCCGGCAGGTGGGGTCCCTTGGCCTGGCCTGAGGGGATCGAGCCGAAACCGGCTCTCAGACAACCCCCCGAGGGGTCCTGGAGTGCAAGAGGGCACTCTGCAAAGTTGCTGTCATACAGGGTGTGGAACGTAAATGCAAGTGTGCAGTAAACCAGATTCGGGGTTGTGGAATGTAAATGCAAGTGTGCAGTAAACCAGATTCGGGGCGACAATGCCCCAGCAACAACATAACCCACAGCAGAAGGTGGAATCACACGGCCCCAAGAGGAATCGGGCTCCCTCCTCTCTTGTTCCAGGGTGCATCACCCAAGAACCGCCACTGCCAAGTCACGGTAGCTCCAGCTCCTGCATTGAGTGTCTGCCCCCTGGTGGTCTGCACGTTATAGGTACCAGCCGGTCGGCCGGTCACTTAGCCTTTTATATATATAGATTATGCTGTTTTTGTTAGAGCAGTTTAAATAGACTAAGACTGTATCCTTATTTTAGAACAGTTAAGAAAATACAGATAAAGGAAAACAATATTCTTATTCACAACCATTCAAAGTTAATGACAACAATTCTAGTTAATATATTTAGGCAGATAACATCGAATAGACACATGCATATGTACACATGTGCACACACACATTAAAAATGAAATGATTCGGTGCCATCTCTTTGTAAATTCCTGTTGTTTCTTCTGAATGTAAGCTCCATGCGCACAGAAGTTTTGACTACGTTTGTAGTACTATGTACATAGTGGGCACTTAGCAAATATTTTCTGAATGAATGAACAATGGTTTGTTAATGGCTTTTTAAAGTGCCAGTGTAGCACTCTAAGTAAAGAATTTATCATCATTTATTTGTGCAGCTACAGGGAGCTGGACATTGAGGTGTCCCTGTTTGTGTTGGTTCTGAAGAGTGCTCTAGACTGTGTCTCCGTAGCAGCATCTTTGTACACTTCCATGCTTGTTAACCCAGGCGCAGTCCCAGACGTGGCCTGCTGGGCGGAAGGGTTGATCCTGTTGGAAAGCTTAGGATGCACATTTGCAAATTGCCTTCCAGAGTTTGTTTCTTCTGACGTTGCAGGAGATTCCTGTTCACCCACACCCTGGTTGGCCCCTTCAGGCATTTTTACTCTCCCAAGCCTCTACCCTACGTCATTCCGGCCTTTCCTTTGCTAAGCTAGCTCACATTCTGTTTCCCTCCTCTTCACTTTAGAAATTCTCTTTATTTTAATTGATTTCTTTTTCCTTTGGTCTTAAAGTTGGAATTGGATTTTCTCTGGAATTCTATTCAGCAGTATAAAGAAATACATTTCTGAGACAAGAACAGAGATGAATCTCACATGCAGCGATGAAAGAAGCCAGGCAGGCTAGAGAGTGTAGTCTGATTCCACCTCAAGCTCCGCAGCACACCGCTTACCACTCATGGCGAGACAGCTCAGCTGTCCCTGGGCTGCCAGCGGACAGGTGGGGTTGGCTGCGGAGGGCACGCGGGAATGTCATGGGCAATAGAAATATTATACATAGCTGTGTACATTCACACAGCTCAGTACCATAGACTTAAGAGCATGTATTTTATTGCATGTAACTTCTACCTCAGTGAAGTTGATTTAATCAGCATGTTCAGAAACACAATAATGGGTCCTTTCTGTGCTGATAGGAATGATGAAGAGAGAGAATCACTTTGGCAAATAGGTGGAGGGATAGGTGAGGGCTTGCCCTTTGGTGGGACCATCCTCTTTCTCCAGATGGGAAGGAGGGTGTGGTCACTGCTCCATCGCACCTGGAGACTCCGATCTGGGAGCCTGCGAACTCCTGCCACAAATGCAGGGCGTGGTTACGACGCTCCTGCCACAAAGGTGTGCTTCGTTCTGGGGCATGTACTTTTCCTCGGGGTTACTTTGCTATTGATGTTCATGCCGGCCATGTGCGGTCTCGCCGATAAAGCCAATATTTGCGTTGCCTTTTGCTGTGACAGAGGAGGAGAAAGAGAACGCCCTCACTCACGGGTTTGCCTGTCCTTCGTGGAGACAGAGTTGCGTGTTTCCAGCAGGAGGAGCAGTGAGCTGAGCTTCTAGGAGGTTAAAATGAATTCTCCAGAACAGAAGGGCGGGAAAGCTTAGTGCTGGTGAAACCTCAGCTGTAAATGTTCTCACGGCTCTTATATTTATAGTGTTTTTGAGTTCAATATTATCATCAGTGACCTGATGGAACTATATTTAGGAAATTTTACATTTTTCCTCCAAAGAGGTTTTTGTCTAAGGTGGGAGAAATTATTACATATTAAGTGATAGAAAATTGTGGACAGTTTCCTTTTGAAAACCCCCAATAGTTCACTTTTTGATAATTCATTGATCTATATACATGCATGACTTGTGCATATTAGTGTATATACGTTATCCTTTCACTTACAAGTTTAAAAAGCTATGGTCATTTTTTACAGACCCCTTGCCTCAATATTTATACATCCTGGTGTCCTGGTGTGGTCTCCACCGATGCTTGAGAGTCAGGAGTTTGTGAGCTGATTGTTAAACTCTTGGTAGCTTGAAAGCGGCCGTTGTGGAGTATCTATAGCGCGGAAATCGGCCACTTTACCAGCAAACCACTGCATTTACCCACCTGTGATATTTTTAGGACAAGATAACCAGTAACGTGCTCATAATACTATGTCTGAAAAATCAGAAAGAGGCAATCATTTTTACAGCATCTGGTTTTTAATTTATGTATTCATTCGGCTTTAAGATCCTGAGGTTTTATCCATATCTCTTCCTCTATAAAAATGGTCTTAGATTATGATGTTAATATACCTGTTTCTGTCTTTTGGTATATTTTTGCATACTTCCGAGATACATGCCCTTAACCAGGAATCGAACCCGAGACCCTTTGGTCCTCGGGCCGATGCTCTAACTGCTGAGCAACCAGCCAGGGCCATCAGTTAATTTTATATGTATCTCTAAAAGATAAGGAGTCTTCACACATAAGTGAAGTACAGTTAGCACATTTAAAATTTTTAAATTTTAGTATCAAACAGTATTTACATTACCCCCATCGTCTACTTTCCCCCCAAATTTATTTCTTTGATTTGGGATACAAATAGGGCCATACATTGCAATTGGTTGATAGGTCTCAGATCTCCCTTCCTACTAGTGTGTAGGTTACCCCCGCCCCCATCCCTCTTCCTTCTCTTTCCTGTGCTAGTTGTTTGTTGAAGAACTTGGCTTGTTTGACCTGTGGCGTTTTCTACAGTTTGGATTTGGATGAGTGGATCTCCATGGTGGTGTTAACATGGCCTTCTTTTCCTTGAATTTCTTGTGAATGATAATTAGTTCCAAATGCGTATTCAGATTCCGGTTAGTTTTTCGTTGTGATTTTTTTTAGTCATGTTTCATCTTTGTTGACACGTTCATTCATCAAGGGGCTCATAATGTCTGGTTGTCTCTTTTGTGATGCTAGCAGGTGTTATGATTATTACTTAGATCAGTGATGGCGAACCTATGACACGCGTGTCAGAGGTGACACGCAAACTCATTTTGGTTGATTTTTCTTTGTTAAATGGCATTTAAATATATAAAATAAATATCAAAAATATAAGTCTTTGTTTTACTATGATTGTAAATATCAAAAAATTTCTACATGTGACACGGCACCAGAGTTAAGTTAGGGTTTTTCAAAATGCTGACACGCCGAGCTCAAAAGGTTCGCCATCACTGACCTAGATCCATCAGTTGTTAGGGGCTGTGAAATATCATTCATTTTTCATTTATTAACTACTAGAGGCCCGATGCACGAAATTCGTGCAAGGAGCTTGACCATCGCAGTTGCGAAGGCTTGCCTCGGCCCTTGCAACCCCGGCTTTGTCCAGAAGGTCGTCCGGAAGGTCATTCAGCTGTCCAGTCTAATTAGCATATTATGCTTTTATTATTATAGATAGTATTTTCTAAAGATATCTTCCCCTAATCAGCTAATAGGTTATATAAGATACATTTTGTTTTCCCCTCCTTGATTACCAGTATTCAGAGTAAGGAGTTGATTTTGTGATATCATCCAGAGATGACAAGTGCCTTGTTTTGTTTTAATTATTATGCAGTCATGGCTTTAGACTTACTTGATTTGTTCTCCGTCATCTGCAGCGTGATTCTTCCTGATGTCCTAATGTGCGCTTCCTGCTGGGGCCTCTTGGGTTGCTTCTGGTTTCTCCTGACCTGATCCTAGTTTCAGTTAGCTCCTTTGCCACCCGTATTGCAAGATGCCCAGGCCTAGTCACCCCTCACTGCCCCCCCGCCAGCCTAATTGCCCTCAAAAGCCCCCCCTGCTGGCCTGGTTGCCCCTAACTGCCCCCTCTGCCAGCCTTGTCGCCCCCAACCCTCCCCGCCTGCCCAGCCTGTTGTTCAGTTGTTTGGTCATCCCTCACTAACCCCCCTGCCGGCCTGTCCGCCCCATGCAGCCTGCTTGTTCAGTCGTTTGGTCGTCCCTCACTAACCCCCCTGCTGGCCTGGTTGTAGGCAGCCATCTTGTAAGGGCATGACTGTCAATTTGCATATTACCTCTTTATTATATAGGATTTCCCTCTAACTTTTTAACCAGCAATTTGAAGCTATGAAATAAAATGCAAGGCATTAAAAATGTGTGTTTCTTGCTGTTTATTTTGAGATTGCAACACTAAAATAGTATTTTAAATCTCTGAATTACAAAATAGTAAATGCAGTTAGAATTAACAAAAAGAAGATATTTTTCTTTTGAAGAGTGTTATCTTTATGACCTAAATTTATAGCATCTACCACAGTTTGTCAACTAATGTGTACTTTAAAAATGAGATTCAAAATCTGTACAAAAATTGCATTTTAAGATTTTATTTTGTCCCAGCTGGTGTGGCTCAGTGGTTGAACATTGACCTATGAACCAGGAGTCGTGGTTTGATTCCTGGTCAGGGCACATGCCTGGGTTGCCAGCTCGATCCCTAGTGTAGGGCATGTAGGAGGCAGCCAATTAATGAGTCTTTTTCACCATTGATGTTTCTATCTCTCCCTCTCCCTTCCTCTCTGAAATCAATAGAAATATATATATTTTTAAAAAGATTTTATTTTGACTCCCTAGTACCATGCCATTGATAGTTGGTATTTTCTTGGGCATGTAGTCTATTTGGTAATAAACTCTTTTTTTTTTTTTTTTTTTTTTTTTTTTTTTGGTAATAAACTCTTTAGTAGCTATGTGAACTAGCATTTCCAAATAATATATTTTCCAGCTTACCAAGATATTGTATATAGGTTTATATTTATCCAGAAATAATGCAGATTCTTGTTGCCAATGCTCTGCACCACAGCATTTTACAGGATTCCTGTGGACACGAAATTAATGTAGTTCATGGTGTATTTGTATCTGTAAAGTGAACTTGCTTGCTGGGAATGCTTTAAAAAGAAAGTATCTGCATAAATGTTATGTGCGTAGCTAGTAATTTTGAACACTCATTCCACTGCTGGAAGGTATTTTTGCTTGGATGAGAACTTCTCTGGTTCTTTGCTCCAATAAGACACATAATCTTGCCTTCTTGATGGCGGTGTCTGCTAGCGCAGCTGGTTGTTCCCGTCCATTTCTGATACTTCTGTTTTGGTTTTGATAGTTGTTTCTCTCTTTAGATGTGTGAGAAGCACTGACTCTTTAATACTTACTGTGGTAGTTCATTCTCTCACAGCTATTTAAAGCAGTCAGATAATTTAGTTTGATTTAAAAACGTATGTTTCCTTCTCTTCTCACGAGGCCCTGGCTACAATTAGGCTCCTTGACGTCCTGTGTGAGATGACCGCCAACACCGACCTGCTCAGCTACCTGCAGGTGTACCCTGGCTTGCTGGAGAGAGCCGTTGGTGAGTGAGCCAGCACACGCTGTTGTTTTTAATCGAGAAATCTCTGACTTTTCATACTATAATATAAGTTCAAACACGGATCTGTAATTTTCAGGGTATTGTTATATTTTTGAGATTTGGGGGAATATTTTTTCTTAGGAGGAACTGTGGTGTTTTGGTAACAGCTCAGGCTGTTGCCCCTGCCCTGCTGTTTGACTCAAGCTGCCTCATCAGCATGTGAGGGTCCCAGTGCCTGCCGCATGGTGCTCCTGGGGGTGTTTCATCACCAGGGCCTGCGATGGTGAGGGGGCGCGGTTTCGATGATGATAGCATTTTTAATATCACTGTAGTTTTACCAAATTTGTTAGTAAAAATTTTCCTAGTCACATTTATGGGGCGCGAAGAATAGTGCCTTACACATAGTTATTGTGTCTTTGATTTTTATAGAAAACTAGAGGCCCAGTGCACAAAATTCATGCACTGGTAGGGTCCCTAGCGGCTGCGGGCTGACAGCCGGGGCCTCTCTCCCTTCCCCTGGCCAGCCCCGCCCCCTGGTCGAGGGGACAGTTTGCATACTATGCTTTTATTATATAGGATTGTTTTTACGCAAGAAGCCAGTGTTTGAAATATTACCATCTTTGCTAAAAAACTGTTTAAAAAATAATTCAAGTAGAACCTGCTCCTTGTGGTTAGCCATGCTTATGGTGTTGCTATTCACTGGCTGCTATGTTTTTCTTTAGAAAAGGTTATAATTATTCTGGAGACTCATATGCTAAGAAAAATGAATTTGGATCTAGATGGGTAGACAAGTTCACAGTGAGCTGTAGACGATAGTTAGAATCTCATATCGGTGTTTTATTTTTGAATTCAGTGCTTTTAGTGATAATTAGTCATTGTGGAAAAGTATGCATTTGGAGTCAGGGCAGGCATAGGCTGCTATCTCAACTCTGAAATTATTAACTTCTCTGAGCCTGATTCCTTCATTATAACTTGGGAAAGAGACAACTGCCTTTAACACGTTAAGTGCCCAGTCAGTCACCGGTGACTGACACTATACTTTCAGTCCTAAAGACAAAACAGGCTGGGTGCTTAATGTGTTAATAGGTTTGTTGATCTGGTTAAATGAGATAATGCTCAAACACTTAAATACAGCTTCTTTTCCTAGGCTGTTATGGTGTCTCATACAGTGTAACAGTATTAATCAGTTCTTCTCAGTGTAGCCAAAACAGCACCTGGAGAGCAAGGCCGGCTTCTGATCACCTGGCCAGAGGGACACCCATGCTCCTAGGTGTGTGGTGTGGCTCCTCACAGACAGGTGGTGTCTCTAGACTCAGCTGACAGTGGGCCTCACAGCCGTTCTTCCACAAAGAAGTTGAAATTGGAAATCTTTTTCTAAGAAAGATGGTGGAAAATGTTTAGCTAACTTTTCTTTGTGGATAAATGGAAAGCCCAAGTTGGGGTCGTCATTATGGCCTATGTCCCCAAAACCATTCATGAAAAATTTCAGAGCAAAAATAGAAGAGCCTTTTAATCATTATTTAAAGGAAGCTTTCAGTATTCAACCTGTATTTGATTTTAATCCATTAACATAAATTAGATTCATTTATGGAAAACTAGTACAACATACTAACAATGTTTCTGTGGAAAATGAAGTTTGTTGTTTTTGTTATAGATCTTTTACGGTTGATTCATGTAACTGCCAACGACACCACGGACATCTTCAATACCTCTGCTTGCATCAGAGCGGAAGGGGACGTCAAAAACATGGCCGAGGGCTTTAGGTCTCATCTCATTCGTCTGATCGGAAATATGTGTTACAAGAATAAAGATAACCAAGACAAGGTAAGATTGTTTCTTACTATGTATAAGACATATGCGACTTCATTTAGAATATAATATTTAAAATCAGAAAATAATCACTTTTTTGGCATGAAAGCTTACAGTGCTTAGAAAGTAGCTTGAGATATGTATATGTGTGTATATGTATTCCCACAGATAAACATAAAATGCCATAATTACTTGTATTAGGGTTTGTATTTTTGTAATTTGCATTGTATTTGTCCTTAGTGTGTTTGAGTCAGTCTCCTTTCTTATAAATTGTTGATCTTCGTCCTAAGCCTATGCATTTAAACAACCTAATGTCCTTAGACAATAGTCAATAAAAACAGGTATTTTAAAAGCCTAGGAATTGTTTAACACATAGTAGACACAATAAACAGTAGTTATTACTTTTTTAATCCTCACCTGAGGACATGCTTAGAGAAAGGAAGGGAGGGAGAGAGAGACATTGATGTGCGAGAGAAGCACTGATCAGTTGCCTTCCATATGCTCCCCAGCTGGAGATCAAGCCCGCAACCCAGGCATGTGCCCTGACCGGGAATCGCACCTTTTGGGGGGGGGGGGGGGGGGGGGTGGCGCTCACCACTGAGCCACTCTGGCTAGGCAACAGCAGTTACTGACACTATCTTAAGAAAAAACAGCTACATTTTAATTTATATCTGTGCCCTACATTTTGGATTATAGCAACATAAGCATTTCTTCTAGGAGTTTTGAAATGGATATAATATTAAATCTTTGGAAACTCAGTAGATTGCATTAGAAGCCTATTTTGTGCTGAATAGCTTAGAGGTAATTATATCAGTAATATGAGAAGGTGATAAAAAATGATGGCAGGAGAATTAGACCACATGCTTCATGTTGAACTACTGCCTGTATCTTCCTAACACTTTAAGTAGCATCTGTTTTGCTTCATTAAATACTGAATATATGTGTGACAGGTTCCACTTTTCAAACGTGGCCACACAAATACCCATCATTCTGCGTGTATTCCTGCAATGTGACGTTGCCACTCCCCCATCCTCTTGAATTTGGATGGCTAGAGCTCTTTGACTACTTTGAGCAACAAAATATGGTGGGAGTGGTCCAGCACCATCTCTGTGAGGGCCCGCACTGCCTGGCGGGCCCCGTGCCTGCTCACAGAAGCCGTCACCGTGTCAGAGCGCAGATTCCCCGCGTCACTGTGCCGAGAGTTGCCAAGTCCATGTGGAGCAGCCCTGGAGGAGGAGGTGCAGGGAGGAGACAGACAGAGATCAGTTCTAGGGCCGAGGCACCACACATGTGAGCGAGACTCCAACTTGGAAGTCACTAATCTCGGTTTCCTAGTTGCCAGCTGAGGCCCCGTGAATCAGGAGTAGCCTGCCCAGCAAGCTCTTCCTGACTTCACAGCCCACAACATTGTGAGAAAAAGTGAAAATCGGGGGGAGGGGATTGAGTTGTAGGTTCTGCGTTTGTTAATGGCCCTGTAAGCTACTGTCGGACTGATCTTCCCACAAATAATTATAAACTCAGGACAAAAGACAGCTTAGTGAAGACACCCAAGGTGACCCAACGGCAGATTCTGAGTTGAATTGACACACGGAAGAAGGCACAGTGTGTGTGTGTGTGTGTGTGTGTGTGTGAGATGCAGGGCAGTTAAAACTCTGATGGAAAACCTACAGACCTTTTAGCTTAAAGAATGAAAGACAGTTTTTTGTGTTTTTTAAAAATATATTTTATTGATTTTTTACAGAGAGGAAGGGAGAGGGATAGAGAGTTAGAAACATCGATGAGCAAGAAACATCGATCAGCTGCCTCCTGCACACCTCCTACTGGGGATGTGCCTGCAGCCAAGGTACATGCCCTTGACCGGAATCTAACCTGGGACCCTTGAGTCCGCAGGCCGATGCTTTATCCACTGAGCCAAACCGGTTAGGGCTGAAAGACAGTTTGAAGCAGCCACAGCCACTGGAAGGTGAAGGAGGTAATCCTGGAAAGGAGAAAGCAAGCCCCGAGTTCTCTGTGCTAACCGCCTGCATCCCTGCTGAGGCCTGAATCACACGTGGGTCAGGCACCACGCAGCTCAGCGAAGGATGAAATAATCGTATTGAGATTTGAACGGTCACCCTAAGAATTTACAGTTAAGGTCCAACTGCTAAAACAAACTTAACAGTGTTTTAGAGTAATAGAACGCGGAGTTTCCACAGCATAGCACTTACAGCGGCCGGCTTCCAGACTCACTGGCACACAGGAAAATTCTCAAGAGAAAAAGATAATTAACAGAGATTGACTATGTGATGACACAGATGTTGGGTTTAGCAGACAAGGATTTGAAAGCAATTATAACTGTGCTCAAGGATGTAAAGGAAAATATCCTTTTAATGCATGAAAGATAGCATGATTCAAAGAAATAGAAACTATAAAAATATGAACCAATTGGAAATTCTAAACCTGAAAAATATAGTAGCCAAACTAAAATTTAAAAATTTTTACTGAATGTGCTTAACAACTCAATAGAGATGACAGAATAAAGAGTTGGGCCCTAGCTAGTTTTGTTCAATGGATAGAGTGTTGACCCATGGACTGAAGGGTCCTGGGTTCGATTCCTGTCAAGGACACGTACCTTGGTTGCAGACTTGATCCCTGGCTCTGGTTGGGGCTCGTGCGGGAGGCAACCAGTCGATTTGTGTGTCTCTCACATCGATGTTTCTCTCTCTGTCTTGCCTTCTCCCTTCCACTTTCTCTAAAAATCAATGGAAAAATATCCTCAGGTGAGGATTAACAACAACAACAAAAAATGTTGGCGTACGTGGAGATAGATCAATAGAAATCATCTAGTCTAAAGAACAGAGGAGAGAAAGATTAAAAATAAAATCTTGATCTTAAGATGCTAAATTCTGGGGCAAATTCTGGAGCATTTCATAAGTAGAATAATTCCGACAGCACATGGCACAGAACCAAACGCCCGACAACTTGGTTTTTATTGTGTGTGTACACTATTTCGATGACTCCTCATCGTCAAGCAGGTATGAGTGGAAGACTACTAACCCCCCTTGGAAAATTACTGGGCTGATCTTTGTAAGAGAAAGTTTATACAGAATAAAACTCTTTACCTCTTTAATGACCAAGACTGTCTTTCTCGAGGAGCACAAAGGAGGTGTTTTTTCTTGTGTTTAACTGTTCTTTTGTTGCTGCTTTGGATTGGCCTCTTATAGGAATAAATGTAGTAACCCTTCAAAGGCTTATGGGGTGACTCACGGAAGGCAGGCTCAGCTTGCACCCTGGGTAAACATGGAGTGTGTCCAAGGCTGCCCCGGGAGGTCGCGGGCCCAGGAAGACCACGGGTGCTCCTGCCCGTGGGCCGTTGCTAATAGCTCTGCTGAGTTCTGAGCAAACACTCTCCAGGCTGTGAAGGAGCTGGCTCACTGAGGGGAGGAATGCCTCTGTTTCTCCCACTTTCTCCCCTGAGCCAACAAAGGCCTTCAGCCGAAAGCATTGCTCGGGGATTGTCGTCTCCTTCCCAAGAAGCAGACACAGCAGCCGTCTTTTTCTGAATGTGCTGGAAGCTTCTTTGTTCTCGCAGTCAATCCTGATTTCAGCTGGGGTGGCAGATGTTGGCTCTGCTCATTCAAAGGAAGGAGCTCCCTGGCACTCAGATGCCTTTGGCTCTGATTTTGGAAAAACGGTGATGGCATAGCCGGTCTTGATCGCCAGGCTATTCATTCTCATTGTATCGCCTGCAGGGATGGTCCCGCTTCTGCCCACAGGAAACGGAGCTCTGTCTCTGCTCTGAGACTGAAGATGTGAGTGAGGGTTTGTATCGTCCGGCCTGACTTAGTTCCTCCTTCACCCGGGAGGAGACGGGCTGAGGGCTTGGTTAGTGTCTGTGCGTCCCGGCATGTGCTCACTGAGGGACGGGGTTTATCATTTAGTCTTTGCAGTAAGCCCTGCAGAGCAGGTTCTGCTCACCGCGTTCAGGGAGAGCCGTTCAGCCTGTGAGCTGCGGGGCTCTGCGAACCCAGGCTTGTCTGTGAGCGCCTGCTCCCCCGCCCCGCACCAGGGCCTCTCATTCGGGAGCTCACACTGAAGGTGCTGAGGGCGGGTGTGCTCGGTCGGGTCCCCAGGCCAGCCAGGCCGCTCAAGGCCCATCTCGGTCAAGGCTGGCGCTCTGGTGATGAGCACATCGACGCACGCCTCCGTCTCAGTTCCTCCCCTCTTCACAGGGCGTTCCCAGCGTGGGGGCCTTTGTTGGATGAGACGGGTGGGTGTCTCCATCAGTGAACCTGTCACTCTAGGAGCATCTAGACGCCATCCTTGCCTCTGAACTGGAATTCCAAAATTATTGATGACACATGACCCGATTGCTCTGCCATTTGATCAGAAACCAGCTAAGCCCAGCTGGGTCTCTGCTTGAAGTTCACTGATGCATGGAGTGTGGTGCCCACCTGGAGAGCGCCCTTGAGACTCTGAGGCCCTTCCCTGTCACTGCTCTTAGTTCATTGAAGCCATGTGACAGCTCTGGACAAGGCTGGAAGGGTCATTACTATCTTTTTTTAAATGTGAGACCCAAGACAGAGAGGCAGGGATTTAACTCAGCTGTCGCTTATTGAATGAAAGCTGCTCCGAGCCGCGTGCTCCAGAGCAGACCGGCACCTTCACAGGTGAGCTCACGCAGGAGCGCAAGCAGCTCTAACCTCCACGCTGGGAGCCCTGGCAGGCCGGAGCGGGTGAACGATGCCATACTCTGGGCCAGCTGTGCCAGGAGCACCCCTCTCAGCAGGCACGGGAGCTGGACTCCAGGAGCTCCACAGGCCCAGGAAGGGTGCTGCTCTTGCCTTGTGTTTGTGCCCTCGGGCTGTCCTCAGGGGCGTGGAGGGGCCTGGCTCGGCAGTGGGTTTCACCCGTCTTCCCATTGAGCTCTGAAGTCAGCACACATGGCGGGATGCGGTGCGTCCTGAGCTGTAAGTCCAGCTGGTGCTGGAGTCCCTTTACCAGTCCCGCAGGCAGGCGCTCACTGACTTCTGTTC